GACAAAGGAGCATCTGGGAACTATTATGCTGGAGTGAGTTCATTGGTGGGTAACTTTAGAGATACAGCTGCTCCTTAGAAACTCAGTACTACCAAAATATCTATTGAGAGGACAACACTATAATGCACTACTGGCTTTTCCCCCCACAGAGATGTAAAGAGCAGCACCAACTTAAAAGCTGATGGCAGACAAAGCTAAGCACGGTTACAACGTACATGTTTAGCAAAGGTCAAAGTATCTTGTGGATCTATGTTCTTAGTTCTTCATGTGAGGAATTGGTAAGGAGGACAAATTAACCCATGTAACCTCCTCCATATATAATACCATGCAATTCTGTAACTGCATTGAAGGATACTACTACTTGGAACCTTGAATGTCTGAAAAAAATGGGGCAACAACAGTCTCATGAAGTTCAGCAAAGGGAAATGCAGCGTCCTGCAGTTTGGGATTAATAACCCCATGTACCAGTAGAGGCTGGCGTCCTGGTAGACAACAAGCCAAATGTGAGTCAGCAATGTGCCCTCACAGCAAAGGCAGCTAACAGTATCCTGGGCTGTGTTAGGAAGAGCTGTGAAGGTGACCCTTCCCCACTACACAGCCCTGGTTAAGGCCATACCTGGAGGTCTGGGTTCTGTTCTGCGCTCCCCAGTACAAGGCAGAGATGGACACACTGGAGCAAGTCCAGCAAAGGGCCATAAAGATGTCTAAGGGATTGAAGCATCTCTCATATGAGGAAAGGCTGAGAAAGCTGGGACTTGGTCAGCCTGAAGAGAATCCCCGGGGCCACTCTCATCAATGTGCACAAATAACCCTATAGAAGGGAGTGGAGAAGACGGAGGCAGACTCTTCTCAGTGGTATCTAGTGAAAGTGCAGGAGGCAATGGGCACAAACTGAGTGCAAGAAATATTTAAACAAAATAAAAAGGCTTTTCATGGCAAAGGTAATTGAACACTGGAACGGGTTGCCCAGACAATCTGTAGGTCTCCATCCTTGGAGATATTGAAAACCTGACTGGACACAGTCCTGAGCACCCTGCTGTAGCTGACCCTGCTCTGAGAGGGGAGGTTGGACTATAGAATCTCCTGACATCGCTGCCAACCTCAACTATTCTTTTATTCTGTATAAAACTAGGTCACTCTTTATAGAAGCTGTCTTCTTACCTTAATGCACTACTGCCATGAAAATCTGAAGTACAGAGGGCTAAAGAGCGCTGCAGAAACTTTACTGAAGCAACACCAAACAGCTTCAACTAAGCAAACATAACTGCATTCTGGTTACATAAAATCTTTCCTTTGTAACAAAACTTTAATTAGAAAAGCTCTATTAAGGTCTTTGTAAATATCCCTGTAAAGATGTTTGTAATTCCTTAAGCTAAAACAAATAACCTCAAAATCTATCAAGATTACCCTGCTTCAGCACCTAAATGAGTTATCTCTAAAATATAAATAAAAAAACCTGCATTGCTAGAAGCTATCTGAATATCCACCCACCTCTATTCACTGGAAACCTGATAATTAAAAAGGCGTGTGGGGGAAGTCATTCCAGTTGAATGCCTTACCTCCATGAAAGCAAATTAAACTTAAGGCAATCATTTGCTCTCTAGTTACTGATATCCTCTATAGCAGAACCCCTGCCTTTAACAGATTATACTAGAAATCAGTGCACTGAAAATAGCAGAGCAAATGAATGAGGAACTTGGAAAATGCATTATGATTGCAGTCATCATAATAAGTGAATGACTTCCAGGTGCATTTCATACAAGGCTGAAAAATGCAAACATTACAGGTTTCCTTTAGGGAAAAACAAAGCTGATGAAGAAAAAACTGATTTGATACAAAAAACCTGCCCATTACTGTTGCAAATGTAATGCCTTATTAGAAGTAGCTAGAATTCTTCTGCATGAAAAGCACAAATTAATGACAATTAATTCCGACATTGTACAGAACTGTATGTTGAGCCTGACAATCTTCAACATATGGAGGACACAAGCCCACTGACCTTCAGCTCTGGCTTTCCTCAGTAAGAAAACTATGACTTTTTTTTTTCTTTTTAATCATAACAGTCCTTTAATGACATTTTCTGGCATGTACATGACAAGCATGCTTAGGATAACTCCTAAGCTACCCATGGTGAGCCATTTAAAATGTAAATGCTTAAACATAGTCTGACTCTCAAGTTTACATTTATTCATTTTAGGTGGCATCCATTCTGTGAGTTAGGTCATGAGTCTCAACAAGTTGTTCAGACTCACTTTACAGACCTGTTTCTGAGATAAGAAAGGGGCCTAGAGACCTCTCTGCCTCTATTTCCACTTTAACATTAAGAATGCATCCCTAAACGGAGAGCTCATTAACAAGACAAGAATTTGGTGCTTCATTGTTCTCTGTAGCTTTGAGAAGTTCCCCACTAAAAAACAAAAAAAAGAGCAGTTTTAATTTCCAGAAAAGCACAGCAGCTACAAAACCCAGTAAGACTGGGTGAAAGCAAAATTTGCCTCCTTAAAACCAGGTCTTTTTAAAATGTAAAATTACTAATTGTGAATTTAGAAGACTAAAGTACAGGCATGTAAATATTTCAAACTTTTATTTTTTAAAACAGGCTTTTCATCCTTACGAAACCAGAGAAACTTGGTGAGTAATGCCATCCCATTGCTATTTTGGTGCAGAAACAATGAATCACCTCTATTACTTAACACATCCATTCTGAGGAATGCCAGATCACCATGACTTGTACTGGCATCAGTGTAATAGCATGAGTGTCAGCCAGGGTTATAAAGCAGCTGGACCATGGACATCACTATTTTCAAGGGCACAAATGGACTCCTGCTGCTCAGTTCCACATAACTACTTGTGCATGCTCATCACCTAATGGCTTGCTGTTTCTGAAACTCATATTAAATAAAAAGTAGCAGCTACCACACTGATAAAGTCTCCTAAGTCTCTCTATCCTTGTGGAAAATATTGACATTATCAAAAGAAAATGAAGAGTTGTCTTGGAATTTGCTACTAAATTTAAAGTAAAAATGAAAGGTTTTGTTTCAAAATTTTGCTAGTGTTTCCCAATACCTCCAGTTCAGGTGTCTTGTGCCCTTCCTCACCTCTAAAGCTCAGTGTCTCTAGACAATCCTCTCCTAGCACATGTCAGACATGCTTACTGAGCCAGCATGGGTGCCCCTGATAATAACATGTCACAAGAAATAACAGGACCTAGCTCAGAAACTGTCCAAAAATTAGAAATAGGAGACATACAAGCTGCATTTCCTATTAAGGGGTTTATACCTTATTAGACTTCTCATTAAAACAGAAAGAATTATTATTTTAATGTAGAAATACATTATATATTTCCACATATTTTTTCCAAATCTGTCAGAGCCCTGAGTGCACCAAGGGGCCCTGCAAACTCTGCCCCCCCACACTCCTGTGGCCTTGGCCACCTGTGTCCAAGGCCAGCCCTTGACCTTGGACCTGGCTCATCATCAGAGATGATCTGAACTCTTGGCTTGACTCTGTTTACTGTCCCTGGACTTGTTCTGTTCTTTTTTTTTTTTTTTTGAGTACTGTGGGACTGCTCCTTCATGAGTGATGCCACTGCCCTGCCTGCCATGCTGTCCCATCTCAGCTGTTGTGGAGCAGCTCGCTCTTGCTTCTCCCTAAGAGTGTCAAATTCAGTTGTGAATCGAAAAAACAAACAAACAAACAAAAACCCCAAAACTTTTCAGACAGAACTTAATGAAAGGCAGGTGGTTCTTTCAACTAATGTTGCAATTAATTCAACCCAAAAAGATTTAGAGGAATATAGTATGTTCATATGTGTAAGTACAAAAATTAGTATGAAGTGGAGACCAGCCCCTCAGTAATTATCATGGCCTCCCTAGAGCTTTGGAATTCTTAGGTTTAGCCAACATCTCTCTCAATGGTGATCCATTGGAGATACAGAGAAAAAAAGTGTTTGAAGATTACAAGTAACACTACCTATCCTGGGTTTGAACACTTTTTGGTGGCAGATTCAGGATAAGTCTTATCACTATGTCCACACATACATTTTTAATTCCTTCTTCACGTAAGGCAAAAGGCTTGCACCAGTATCTCTTGGCAGCAAGCTGCAGCCCAAATAACCTCCTTCTCTGCTTCCTCTTTCAAGAACTGGTGCATTTTTAAAAGGCAGTGATTAACTTAAGACTACAGTATAACTGGTCTGCGTGAGAAAAATGAAAATAAATAAAATCAAGTTAAAGCCATTTCAACAACAACAGTGGAGTAACAGTTCTTCACATCTATGCATTACCTTTCACTCTGGGAACTCAAAGCTGCTTACACATTACACAAGAGTTTCACTGCACTCTTGTGAACTTGTTACCCATTCTGCACTGTGTTAAACCAAGGCTGTGAGAGACGCCAGGGACTTGCCTAAGAACACACTGCTGGGAAATAACAAAAAACTCAACAGATGTAGGACTTATGATAACCTCAAAGATGCTACAGTTACTCCAACAATTTTTTTTTGTTTCTTTTAGACAAACAAAAGCAGAAATTAAGAGTCACACATCAACTGATCCTGCCAGTATGCTTTATAAATCAGATGATGGTACTATTTTTTTAAATAGTTGCTAATATTTTGTTAATTTTATTTATTTTTTTTACATTGTCTCTCTTGGAAGTTGTAAAATGTAATACACTTTGTTTAAAAATGTCCTTTCTCTCCTCAGTAAGGACTCTGTAGGAATGTTTTATGGGATTGGAAGAGAACCTTCTCAGTGCCACAACAGTTTCAGTTGCTGTGATTTTGCAAGAGTGAGGTGCAACATCATAGCAAAGCATGATGCTGCTGTACGAGAGTTTTTTCAGGTCTCCTTGCTCTGAAAAGCTTGCTATGTTTGTCCCTGCCATCTACTCCACTTGGTAGGTATTTCACTGCTAAATTTCATACCAAGGGTCATCAACATAATACCCCAAACATGCTACACAACATAAGAATGAATTTGAGCAAGGTCTGTACTCACGCAGAAGTTGTCTGCACGTCGTGCCAGCTTTTGCTAAAGTTCTGCTTCAGTTCATTCATCAGACTTATGCCAAGCTTTTGTTTAATTTCAACCAGGTGCTTTTCTTTGGCTGCTAGCACTTGCCGCAAAGTTGAAATTTCATCCTCTAGCTGAGACACACAAAGAGGGAGGAGAAAGAAGAAAGGTGTTAGCCTGTTCCTGCAGAATGATAAACACACAGTATGTCAAGAGATTAAATGGCTCTCACATAAACTTATATTTTTCTTAGGTGACTAGAGAGACAGAGAGATTGAAGTGTTTGTGGAGATCACAAAGACATGTCCAGAACAGAGCTGACACTCCATTAAATTAATGTCTCAAACTATGTGCACCATCATACACGTGCATCTGATAAGAGAATTCTCCAGTAAGGAAGTGACTGTTGAGCAACTTGACCAAGATCTGCCTTAGGGCATTAGGAGTCTCAAACATCAGCTTTCCATTCACTCGTGAAATAGGAATGGGCAGAACAAGAGAAGACTACATGACTCAGGCAGATATTCTCTTTGAATGCACAGGATTTTAACTGCATATTTGCAGCTTTTTAGACTTCCACTCATGAAGAAGACCAGATGCAAATTCTTAGGAGAAGGTTAAAAAAAAAAAAGAGAAATCACATGATAATATATGACTTGAAAGTATCATAAAAAGTTACATCCTTGTAATGTGAGTCTCATCTATATTTTTAGGCTCTACATATTTCAAGATAGTAAAATAAAAATTATAGCAGATGGACTGTTAACATGAGTGAACAGGTTCTTCCCAAAGCATAGAAACATTCAGGAGAGACAGCAGATTAGTCTTTTGAGAGCTCTTAGTCATTAACCCAATTGCAAATTCCATTTGTAAAGACACCATTCAGTCCACAAGGATGTAATTCGCCCTGCAGTGGACGTTATTTGAAAAGTTTAAACCAACTCAGTGTTTTAGCAAGGCAAAGACCACCTGAATGAGAGGAAGGACCGCTGAATCTGCTTGCCACTGGCTCAGGACCCTTCCTTTGGGCAGCACCCCTGGAAGCAGGGGTTTGCAATCTTCATCCAGAAGCCTCCCAAGCCAATTATACAAACAGCAGTGGGAGGTACAGACGCTAACAAGGGCAAGTGACACCAGAGCAGCTGCCTTTCACTTCAGGTTTTTGAAGTTCCCTTACCAACTGTGTTCCTTCCTCCATATGCCAATAGGATAACATATGGTAACATATCTGATTACCATATGCTAAATTCCTTGCAACCACAACCTCCCTGTGATTTAACTCCACAAGCTGCAGGGAATGAGGTGAGCACCAGCTGAATCAGTTGCTGACCTCCAGGGCTATATTTAGGATGTCAATACCAGTATTATTTCTATTTTACACACTCATGCATTCTGCTTCCCTGTAAAACTGGCTGCATGCTCACTGCTCCTGGAGAAGTCTCACCCTTGAATCCCTGAGTGCTTTTGTCACTACCTGCTACCTAAATTGCTCAAAAATTAAGCAGCAAGACTGAACACAAAGAACAATCATGACCTCAGTAAAGCAGATCCCCGTATTCACCAATGCCTGTGATGCCAACACTTCTTGGGTAGGATAGATAACAATCCAAAATGGCTTTATTCCTACCTATATCCTTTACATTCCGTTTTATTCCTAACTTGCAAATGAAACACTGTCAGGAGGCAACACGAGTTTCTTTCTGAGACGAAAACAGGTTAAATGCCTACAGAAAGAGGAATCGCAGATGTCAGAATTCCTCAGGAGCAGTTCAGAGCTCACTTCAGCTGTTTCCTGCCCACAGCAAACCCCTAAGCCCACAAGACTGCCTGAGTAACACTGCTAAAGAATTTAACTTAAACCAATACCAATATACTTACATGTACTTAAACATTAATGCTTTCCATATGGGCTAGGACTAGGCTGATCAGCAGCTACCTGCACATGTAAACATTTGAGGGCTTCTATTAAAATTACTTTCCATATGCTCCGTTGAATAGACACTTAAAGCTGTAAAGCCCTAAGCAAGTATCAACTGTGTGGTCAATGCTGTAAATATGAACAACATTCTTTTACTGTATTAAAAATAACAAATTTTTCTTTAGAAATCAGAGTCTGGTTTTGGTTTGACAAAATCCTCCTCAAGTTCAATCATTTTGAAATAATGGAAGATAAAAAACCTCCCTTAAGTGCTCAGATATCAGTGACTGAAGACTGAAGCAGGCAGAAAGGGACTTATACTGGGATCCTGAAAAGCATTTAAGCAGGTTGCATACCTAACTCCCATGGAAGTCAGGCATCACCTGCTTAGGCATTTTTGTAAAGTCCACTGTCATAAATGCAGACTCCATTATGAAACTAGGATTAAGTCAACAGAAATGCAAGCTTCTAGTTCTCAGGTTTCCCTTCTACGTGAAACAGATTCAGAAGAACAGAGATGCATCATATAGGGACAAAGTTCCCTTCTTGCTTTTTGTGGGCTTAGAAATCAGAGTTAATAGCTGCTTTTTCTTCCCTCTGTTATTGTGTGGGACGTGAAAAAGCAAGGAGAGGAGCTGACCACGATTAACTGACATGAGTAACACGTAAATCACAAAGGTGAGACCCCAGGAAAAACCTCACAATTACAGCTAGGTCTCTCTGAAATACGGGACTGAATAATACTATGGAAGAAGAAAAGTGAAGTTCAGCACACAAACACAAAAAAGTGTTTTCCCTTGTTTTGCCTTTTTAAATTATTTTAGGGAAAACTGTATGTTTTAGGGGGTTGAATGCCCTTTTAGGATGGTGGTATGCCTGAAAACAAAAACAGAAACAAAAACTAACCACCCCAGCAATTCTCCAATGCAACAGCTTTCCCATTTTTTCCAGTAGACGCTCACAAAACAGCTCATAAAAAAACCAAACCAGAATGTATTTATTCAGTAAGATGGAGCATTTTAGATAAACTACTATTAATATAAAACTATGACAGTTGGTATTACCTATACTCTGAGATACACACAGTACTATGTAAAATGTGGAGGTGGAAAGATTCACCTATTGATTGGAATAATATGGATGAATGGGTTGAATAGTAAGCTGAATGTAAATTGAGTATTTATAATGCTTGCTTTAAGGATCAAGGCAGTAAGCAATTAAAATATTAAGAGGCCCCAACAGAAAACAGAAGCCAGCCTAGTTAAATGTGCACTTCTAAGTTAGATTAAGCATCCTTTTTCCCTACCACTACACCACTCAAATGTGTAGTGCCCTGGCTTGGCTGTTCGCATGTCCCTCCTCACCAGGGGAAGCTGAACCTGATAAAAGCCCTCACAGAAAAAAAACCAAACAAGGGCTGTTTTTAAGCCAGGTCAGTTCATAGATCAGGTGCAGAGAGGTGCACAAGTACCTGTGCACATACAGCATAGGGGATGAAGGGGGCAGGAACAAGTGGCTGGAGGTGAAGAAGAGAAGAAGGCAGTGATGGATTAAAGCAGGACAAGCAGTGCACCCACCGAGGTTGTATACTGTGATAGGTACCACAGGCATGCATCACTACTGAAAGGAAGGCAGACATAGCTGTTTTAGAAGTGACAAAAAACCAAAACCAGCAGTGTGATAATATGGTGACAAAAACTTGAGAAGGAGCTTGGCAACTACAGCAAAGCTATCGGAGAAAGGGAGGTCACAGCCACCTGAGAGGGAGGTCTTGGAGCCAGTGCTGCACCAAGGGATTCCCACTGGCCTCTGCAAGCTGCTACACGTCTTTTTGGTTGCACCATCACAATTCACCCCTGCAAAGCCACATCGCACCAGCTCATAGAACAGCACCACCTGGTCACACTACCAAAACCTGCCAGGAGGCACACAGGTGAAGAGAGCAGGGGTAAAAATTGAAAGGGCAGTGCGACAAAATTTCTCACATCGTGGAAACTCGGCTGGGAAATATCCCAGATTCTCAGGGCAGGCTCACAAACTTCACTACCACAGGTACGACCATGGCAGCCAGATTGCAGCATGCATCTGCCTACCTCTGCTAGAGCCAAACATCAACTCCCTGCATAAATATCCTGTAAGAAAAGGCTGGAAAACATGTAACAGAAAAATTGTAATAAGGAAGGACCAGCTATATCACTGGTAGGAAGAGCAACTATGAGGGGCATTTGATAACAGAAAGAAGTTCACTTTGTGAGGAAGAAAATAATATTTTCCTTCATTTCATTGGCTTTGAGAAAAAAGCTAAAACCCAAAAGACTGCATCTTCTCTATACTGTTCTTTCACATAGTCTGTTTTATGTCAGAAGACACAAAAAGGTTACAGCAAATATACAGAAAAACTGTCTCTCAATGAACCCAGTCCAATGAACCCTTGAATTCTGAACAGCTACTGTATTTAGTCAACTAGTGATTGTTACTGAATTGTGACCCCTTTTCAAAATTGTGAAGTATTACAACATATAATAAAATGCATAAAATATTTGTAAGGAAATGTGAGCACCTTACTATGGTAACCTTTTAAAGAAAGTAGTTTTAACGGTGAAGAGAATAACAGCACAAAAAAATAACAGGCACTTCACCTCTGCGCCAAATAATATAGCTCAAATTTTATACCTCCAGGCTGAGTACCTGTTGATTTATAAGTTTTCCCATTGGTGAACAGCACCCAGAGACACTCATAAATAAAGTTAGCCATAAGTTTGCAGAAAAAGGCACTCATCTTTCCTCAAGCTGGGAATAAACATGCAGCAACACACAGAGCTGAACTTAGAACTTGTACATCAGCTAGGAAGCTTGTAGATCAAAGCAGAAAGCTGCTTTTGTGAAAGTATGGAAGGGGGAAGACAGCACGGAGTAAATGATTGCTTTGATGAGGGTAACGGAAGGACAACTGACAGCAGTAAGCAAGAGAGCTCAAAACCTCAGCCCCCGCCATGACTCAGGAGTCATTGTGCCATGCTCCTCACACTGAGGGAGGAAGGGGAAAAAAAAAATAAAAAATAAAAATCGCTTCTGGCCCTATGTAAAGTTTTCAGGCTACAGTTTTCTGCTATTATTCTGAATTTCATACTGAACTCTGTGAATTCAAATGACTGTTAGAAGTTTATGTAAGAGTCACTAATTTTACTTGCATTGTAGAAATTTCAAGGCCTGATTAGAGTCAGAGTTCTCCTGTGTTTGCCAGGCTACAAATACAAGAACAGAGACAGTCCATGCTCTGAAAACCTTCCAGTACAGAGACTGCTAGCAGGGGAATGGGAAAAGAGCATACAAGAAATCTGTCAGAAAAACAGTGGTGCTGGTTCTCTTCCTAATGTCAGGGAGGGAAGGAGGAAGAGGAGGACAACAGAGAACATGTACAGCAGATACACAACACAGAGATGGAATATTTTTTCCTCTTTAAATACACGCACAACAGGTGCTCACAGCAGCTCCACATTACATCAACAGTGATTGCAGCATTAGGGGAGATTTGAACCTTTCAGGGCAGTAAGAAGAAAGGTGCTTGTTCCTACAGGCTCAAACAGGTATTACCTAACATGTAAGGACATGGAAGAAAAACTACCACCAGGGGACCAGAGGGGGCTTGAAAGTAGAGACTAACAGCTTTGCAAAAGGAAACATTAGCCTATTCCCACAGAGGTTTCTTTCTGAAGGAGTCACGGTCTTATATATTTTTTGCAGTCTTTACTAAGAATCATAAGCCTCATTTATGTTTAGACTTAGTTCACTCTAAATTCAAGTTTTCCACACCTTTCTTGGCATAATTATCTGTTTTATTTTTATTTCAAGCATAAGCTGTATGCCAGTAAACTGCTGCGAGCAATTCAGAAAATAATTTCCAGGCCAGCCAAGATCATAATATTTGAAAGGCAATCTCTCTCTTGTGTGCTGGTATATGAATTAAAGCATTTCTACCATGAGCTGCTGAGAACTCTCTGCTCCCACAGGAATTAGCAAGTAGGAAGGATGCCCAGAAACTCTTGAGATTAACTCTCTTGAGAGAGGCAGATCATTCTCTGATGGTGGCAGGAAGTTTTTTCTTCCTTGTTTCTGTCTGCTCCTTAATTCCCTTACACCAGAAAAGGGAAGAGAATCACTGAATGGCTAAGGTTGGAAAGGACCTCCGGAGGTCACCTGGTCCAAACTTCCTGCCCAAGCAGGGCCACGTAGAGCCTGTTGCCCGGAACTATGCCCAGACATCTCCAAGGATGGAGACTCCACAACCTCTCTGGGCAACCTGCACCAGTGCTCACTCGTGCTGACAGTAAGAAAGGTTTTCCCGATGTTGAGAGGGAACCTCTTTTGTTTCAGTGTGTCTCCACTGCCTCTTGTCCTGACAAAAAGCCAATAATGAACATCCCAACTTCCATTTCATTGCTACATGATGAACTGATCATGTAAAGTTTCAGCTTCCTTCTTATTATTTACAAATGTGACAGGATCAGCAAAGAATAAAAATAAACTAGGAACTCAAAAACACAAAGCTTGATAAAACATTAAAGCGAAAAAACCAATCTTTTGGGTTTTGTTTCACTAGAAAATCCTAAATCAGCACTGAAGGTAAATTACTTGAGTCATTAAGAACATGACTTCTTAGGGTATTTAATATTAAAACCCCTTCATACAGCTATGATATCTGTTGTGTGTCTCATATTTAAAATAAGTAAACCCTCACTTTTTCCCATTCTCTCATTTTCCATTTTGGAATTTCACTTCTATTTCTGCAGTATGCAGCAGCAGCAATTACAACTGAATCCACTCTCCTATCGTAGACCGAATCTAGACAATCTCTTTAATCTCTGTAACAAAAAGACCACATGGTTCATGCCTTTTTCAGCCCATCTCCTTCTTATTAAGTATTATTTTTAAACCTCTTCATTGTGTCATGACATCTCCTGAAGTTCTCTAATTAAGCAAACAACAAATGCAAACCAAAAATATAACCCTCTCCATACACACTGGTGCCAAAGGAAAGTAAAATGTGGTGAAATTACTGTGCTCATCATCATCAGTCTCTTCTGTAACCAGCAGCAGCAGCTTTTCCTCTGAGCACCACACAAAGAATCTCTTCCATCAGGTGTCACAACCACTCTAACAACAATACCATAGATCTAATAAGATGAACAGCTTTCATTCTTGATAAAGGAAGATTTATAAATATAGACACAAGTCTTGACTAAAATGGTAAGGTATATTTAACTTTCTCTCTACAATCAAGTAGAAGACACTTAATCTTCAAAAAATTCCTAAGGAAATTAATTGCTTCACACCATTGTAGCCTAGAATAATTTTACTAAAAAGGAAAAGCATATCTTTATGATGTATACTTCATCCTACAATTAATATCTTCCAGTTTAAGGAAGTAGAAACAGTAACAATCACAGAAATTCAAATTCATTACCTTGGCTAGCTCAATCTTTAACTCTTCTTTTTCTTCTTCAGAAATCATATTGGTGAAATCAACATCAGTGACCACATCTTCATCTGCTTCATGCAAAGAGTGAGTTTCCAGCAGGCCTTAAAATAAAGAGTTAAAAGGTCAAGAAACCATTATCAATTATTTCAGCTGTGATATTGACCTCCCCTGAAATCTCAGTGATATAATATTCACCCACTAGGAAAAAAACAAAACCAAAACCAAATAGAAACAAAACAACCTTTTCCTGCTAAAGGTCATTTGGATTCTACTCCTCTTTTCTTCTGAAAAGCTGCTGGGAGTATCAGATTATAATGATTGCACAGAAGCAATTTAATATGTGAAAGCACCACTCATTCCCAGGAAGCAATCACCTTGGTCCCCACAAGTCCCTGAAGAGGCATTTCCTTGCTTCTAACAATATAGAGGATAAGGAGGGGAAAAAAAAAAGAAAAAAAGAAAAAAGAAAGCTTTCTCTTCAAAATAAGAAAGCTGGTTAATGTGGATCACTGATGTGATCAGTGGCAATAGTACACTGGGCAATAAAGGAAGTATATTACTGAGCCAAATTTGCTTTAAAAGCACGTCTGCAGCAACTTAAAAACCTTACAGATGTAGTGCGATACCTACTGCCTGAATCTTCTAAATGTTAGAGAAGTGCACCTTCATCGCTTGGTCTAAATCTGTGAAGGATGAACAATTACACTGGAGCTCCAGTTACTTTCTTCTCCTGTGTGTCCAAGACCAGGATCAGTATGTATGATAACCAAGATAAGCACATACATAAATGTTTGCAAGACCTGGCCTGCCTGGTACAGCATATACAGAGGAAACCAAACATATCCTATCTCCCATCATACAGTGAAGAATGACTGCTGGGGTTCCAGCCACTGATAGTCTCTCATTCTTCACTCCAAACAAAACATGAGAAAACAGAAAACATTCTCACTCCTTCAGAATTTGTTTTAAAGTTCTCACTCTGCTTCTGTTGTGGAAGAAAATCCTCCTCCAGGCTACATCTGGGACAGCACTTTTTACCTGTATTCAGTTCTCTAGTGTGGTACTCAGCACTCTCAGCTGAATTCTGACATCTGTATACTGCTTAATACAGAGGAGAACAATTTGCTTCCCAGCTCCACAGAGGCCTGTACACTCTATTACATTTACAAAGATATTAAAATTTAATTTGGTTAAGTTTTGGCAGTAGGGAATAGAGGCTACAAGCAGCAACTCCAGAGTACTCAAGAACTTGAAACCGAGTACTTTATATTTTCATGCAGAAAGCAAAACTCCCTCCAGCTTTGTCATATCTTCCACCTAGAGTCCCCTAACATATCTGTATTTCCTCCTATTTAACAGAACAGAACTGATCTGATTCATCCCATCAGCTGCACTGCAGAGCAGTGTGGTGAACTCAGCCCTGTTAATTACAACCTCTCCTGAGTGGGAAGATGAAGAGCAGCAACACAGGTGCTGAACCCCTGCCTGGCACCATATGCAAGAATAGAGCACCACTCCTAAGCACAAAACCTTTTAAAAAACATGAAAGCATACAGTAGTTGATACCTTAGCTATTGCCCAAAAAGCAGCTTGTCAGGAAAACCTAGATTGCCAAAGCCACAAAAAAAGAAAAGCACATTTATTCAGCGGCAATACTCCCAAATCACTTATATTAACACCCTTCCATTTCTATACAATTGTTGTTTGGCATTTGAGGATTAATAGTTTTGCTATGGGACTTAGGCTAAACTTATTCCCCATGGTCTTGAAAGCCATCTCTTTTTTCATGGATGGAGGAGCAGCAGTACAGGACAGCTTTTGGAAATGCTGGGAAGAAGCTTAGGGGCAATAGGGTCAAGGCTGAAAACCCTTAAGACAAGTCTTGGTATAGATGGGAGATGAGGTGATCTTGGAGCAACTGATACTTGAGCTAAAAAGAAGGCAGATCTGTGCTTGAGGGACAGCATTCATTTGGGATTGGCTAGGAAAAGAGGCCAGAATTGCTGGACAGCAGTTAGATAGAGATGGAAGCCAACATGGGCCAAAATCACTAAAGATGCTTGACCAACACTTAATTAGAACCAAGGGTCAAACTTCAAGATTGAACTGAAATTACAATCCATTCCAAAGTGGTGTGTGCATGTCAATCTGCATGATTCTCTTCAACCTCATCCAGGGGCAGTCCCAATTCTTACTTCGTGCTCCTCATCTAAGTCCTCTAAAATCTAGTCTCATCCTTCAGTCTCCACTTTCATGTTCATGCCACTACCAGAGTCCTCCCTAGTGGCTGTCTCTGCAAAGGCTTCGCTTCAGTCACCAGGCAGTTCCATTCTGAGCATCTCTCCACCATGCTGTGGGCCGCAGTCTTCCTTCAGCCAGCCTCAGCTCTGAAACTTCCTAACACGAGCACTATCATGAACAACCCACACCTTCTCCCTCTTCTGCTGCTGCTCTCAGTCTCTGTCTTCCCTTCATGATCCCCAGGGAAGTTGTGGATGTCCCCTCCCTGGAAGTGCTCAAGGCCAGGTTGGACAGGGCTTTGGGCAACCTGGTCTGGTGGGAGGTGTCCCTGACCACAGCAGGGCGGTTGGACAAGATGTTCAAGGTCCCTTCCAACCCAAACCATTCTGTGATTCTATCCTTGTTTTTTCCAGTCAAACCTAGCAGCTCTCTGTCCTGGCTGTCACTTTCTGTTGCTATTCTACCCTGCTGAAGACAGCCTCACTGGAGTCCTCTCACCACTTATGACTGACCCCTCCAGTCCTGGGCCAGGCCCGTCAGGATGCTTCAGTTCTAGTGCTAGGTCATCTCAGCTTCTCAATCCCTCTTCCTCACTTGAGCAACAGAAACTAATTTCCTGAATCTGATCTGTAAAGGTCTCTTTATCAGTGTCTGGGGCTACACTCGCAGACCTTTTCTTCAATTTGTCTGTCTCAGTCTTCAGCTTAGGAAAGAGAGGAATAAAATCCTGAACACATTAGGAAGAAAATAGGCTTCCTGAGGCAGAAGAGATCTCAACTCTTTCCATTTATTAAGAATGTAAACATAAAACTCTGTCCCTGTGATTTATATCCTAAGGAATTTAGCATCCACACTTTCAAGCAACTGTACAGCAAAGTGTGCAGGCGATGTTTCCAAAACTTTGTTCTTAGTCTTTCCTTTTTTTTTTCTGACTTATGTGCCAGTCCCTATTTCCCCTCTCATAACCATTGAGTCCTGTATTAGATTTCAAACAGAGTTAGAGGTCTCAAAGCAAATTTCATGAAAACAGCCAGTTGGTAGAGAAGACTTAAAGCTATTTCACAGACTGAGAGTGTGCTAGATGAACTCATATGAAGTATCAGAGAAGCCAAATTGGGAAGAAGTTCATTCATAAACTCTGTTTAACAACAACAGAAAAAAATGTCCAATTTTGTACTTCTGGGTACCACATCACCCATTCCACCAAAGCACACCTTCTGTCAGGTTTCTACAAGCACCTTACCCAGAAGGAGTTCAGAGCAGCCTCGGGAGGAACCATAGTATTAATTTCATTCAAGGAAGTCAGCCAACCACAAGACCATAGGAAATTAGGCTGTTGACATTTTCCTACTCCTAAGAAAACTTGTTAGTTTTGCAGTCTCCAAGAAGAACAGGAACCTGCAGCAAAATTCACACCAACATATATAAGAAACAGTAATGATTTTGGTAATAAAACAGCTCCTATTGCTAGTATTGCTGACCCTAAAATATTCTCACACCACCTACTCTGTGTAGGAAGCACAGTCTCCTCTCAACCTTCCCTGTGGGGTCCTTTCAAGTAGGCAGCCTGGGAAATACACATTTCAGACATTGGCTGTAGATGCACCAAGTACAGAAGCATTACAGAACACAAGAGCTCAGTGGGATTTCTGATACGTCTTGAATTAACCACAGGAGTAATTCTTTAAGAATCAAGGAACTAGGTAGCATGCTGTTCAGTGTGTTTAATCCAGCTACACATTTTGTTAAACACACCTAATCTAACAATTCATGAAAGCACACACAAGGCTGAGCTGATACAGCTAAATGGTTAGAGCTGAGTCCTAGAATCTAAGTATTTTTCTATACTATACAGAAGAGTGCCAGATTTAGGCATGTAAACCCCAGAATTTTAAGGTAACACTGCATTTTGTACTTCACCATGTGCATTCAATTCCAACAGGTATGTACTTCACCCAGGAAAAAAAATAGATCTGCACTTTAGCAATGAAGACATTCATCTATGGGCATGTACAGACACTCAGTTTATACATACAGATGCTGCAGCTGAGCACATAACTCAGCTTTTCTTGTTAGTTTCACACTTCTTCCTTTGGGGTAGAAGAAATTTAACTGGTTTCCAATTCACCTTAAGTATATCTACACAGTATATATCTATATAGATAACTATATCGCTACACATAGCCATAATGTATCTATAGTTACATAAATAATCTGTAACTCCTCACAGGAACTAAAATACAGAATGGCATTTTGATCAGATGTCCAAGGCAAATCTTTCCTTGGCAAATTCATTCTCCTAACTTGCAGGATTACGGAAAATATTTATTATTTACTAACTCTCAATAAAGACTCCTTCTGACAAAATATAGGGAGCATAAAGTTTCAAAGCGAAACACTTCCCAATGGCTAAATTAGTTTTCCATGTGAAGTGACAAATATAATATGCCTGGTCAGAATCATGACTGCCAAATCACCGACTGGTTTTATGTGCAAGGAACTAAAGCAACTAAAGCAGCAGCAATAAGCAGAGTGGTTACAGTTAGGACATATTACATTTGAAGTGGAGCATGGCAAAGGTCAGCATCCACCAGCTCAATGTCAGACTACAGCTGCATCAGTACAAACTCATTCTCTGCAAGTTAGCCATGCCAAGTTACACAGCTTATCAGCTCAGGCACGCTGATAACAACAACATAACATACTGCTCCAGAGCCTTGAGCTAGGACCTCTGTGGTGGATGGCATGAATACCAGTTGCTTAAGGCTTGTGGGTATCTCTGCATTGTGCTACACTGCAAGGACAGAAGAACACTGCTTGCAGTTACTGCTTTATCTCTCTAGATAGTGTCATCTCATACATTTACCAGAGTCTCCAGGCTGAGGGGAGCAGTATGAGGCCCCCAATGATGATGGAGCCGTCTTTTAAGGCCAGGTTTCCAAGGAGCAGCCCAGCACACTCTAGTGCATTATAAGGGATTTTACATAAGCCCACCTGTAAGTACTGCTCTTATACTGTTTCAAAATGCTGGACAGGCATTTTCTTCTCCTGCCAAGCTACGTAACCTGACAACACACAGCTAGTTGGTCTGGGAGAGACAGTATTTTTTCAGGTGTCAGTTATAAGCCATGAAAGGTTTGCTTGGTCACATTGAGAAGGGAGTTGTACAAGTAGCTGAGATAGTCGTCCTTTTCCTGACTAATAAGTATGTGCTTCTTCATGGAGCAGTTACATTCAAGCTGCATTCTGTGTTCCTCTTCCCAGAAACACTGAAGATCATGCCTTGTTTCTAGCTGTGGTCAAAACTGGAGAAACTGGAATTCTGATTGTTATTAAAACTGTCCAGATGCACAGCTCCTATGACTTCAGAATTGTATCAACATCCAGATATGGAATCAGAAATTAAT